TAGCTTATAGCAAAGGCAAAACCGCCGCCAAACTTCCGTAAAAAGGAAATCCTAGCAAAAAAGACGCAGGAATTGTCAAAGTGTCAGCTCCGCTGGAATTTGTCGGGGTGACTTCATAACGAACAAATTTCTCAAGGATGCTACAGGATATGACTGGGAGGAACCCTGATTACTATCCGACTGAGATAAGCGCCGTATCGTGAGAAAATGATATCCAGCCGGGTACTGAAATTGTAGGTGGAACTATAATTATGCGTCGCAGTGTACAACATAGAAATTTTAGGTATAAGAAAACGCAAGGACTCGCTTGGAAGGGGACCGCTATTAGCAATGCCCAATGGACAGGTGTTCGCCTTGCGGGTAGGTTACAGAGAGCACTACATTAGATTACACGCCGTTACAAAGCAAGTTTCGCTATAATTCAGTGGAATGCGCCAGTTTTTGGAAATGTGATTTTTTGAGGTTTTTTTGGGGATTTGACTATTTTTCCATAGCAGCCTTTCCGGTATCGTATTCGCTGTGATTGTGGTATGGTGTTGGGGTTATGCATGCTGAAGGGTCACGCTGCACGCAGCGGTTGCTTGGTTTTTGACGAATTTTTTGATGGTTTTGGTGAAATTTGCGAGCTGAGCGTGCCAAGTTGTCTCAGAATCTTATAATCAAATTCTGTAGAAACAGCCGTGGTGATGAGGAGGTCGCATTCAACGGTAACGCCCTTTAATTAAGGCGGGAACCCCTCCTAACAATTTCTCCTACGTGAACGTCGACCCCAGTGGATGAGAAGGAGGAGGGAGGGGAAAAGGAGTGACAGAAAAGCGTTTACTTATTTTTATATCATTGCAAGTGCAGATTACCTATTAAAGATGTGATAATCATTCATATACAGGATCTGTTGATATTGGCTGGTGTAGATCCGAACGACCGGAGTATTAAGCATGTACAGCTAGAAGGCGCCGATTCTGATTCGACAGGTAGAGTGGCAACAATTTCAACAACTCTCGAAAGCTTCATTTGTCGACTGGAATTTCAGGTCAGTCCTATGGAGCATCAATCCCTTTTGAAAAAGCAATGAGTCCTGAAGTTATTATTGCTTACAGTATGAATGGGGAGGATATTCCTCGTGATCATGGAGCTCCTCTGCGATGTATCATACCTGGTAAATCAATTATTATCATTAATCTATCGTTGTAACAGTGCCGTCAAGGCAAAACTATTTTGAATCCGCCCTGAATCAATGTGAAGGAGGTGATAGATCATGTGCAAGAATTCTTTCATGAAATCACGATACTTCCTAGAAGTTGCGCCTTGGAGCAGGGTTTTCGCGTCTCCTATGAGTTGTTCTACCCATGACACTTCCCAAGAAGTGAGTGAAGCTACTCCCAACGTGTCACTAATTCGTGCTTGTTTGACGCTTTCTAAGCATTAAGTCATTCCATATGCGCAGTGAAGTTTTTTTTAGCTGCATCTTTTGAATATTTTTATAATAGATGCCCATTTTATTCTTTTCATTCTTTGCTGAACTTCAACGATGGGTGCGGCAAACCAGCATTTGAAGTTGTTCTGTTCCTTGTTTACCGCAGTACTTGAAAATGTAAAGCATTTGCCGTTGATCAATCCCTTTTTGGGATGCGGCACGCATTCTACTTCCATTTGTACATTCGCAGTGGCATTTTGAATGCGATGTGGCCTATACAATGACTTGCGGGGGCCAGCCGATGTACAAGTCAGTGTTTTTATCCTCCCAGACAAGTCTGGTACCAATTACTGACTCCGTATTGATGAACGCTTGAACGGCCTCAACAGCTCGCTCGAATATGTGACCCTGTACCGCGCGTGATAAGCGCGCTCCAGTAGTCACAAATTAAGAGGTCAACATTTTATTTTCGATCTTTCAATCCTTTATGTGTTTGAACGGCGTGTGCAGGGCATAGGTGGTGTAGCGGCAATCGAAACCGCATACCATGTGCGTGGTGTGAAGGTTAGGTCTCCTCTCAGATTTTGCCCAGGCCAATCAAGCCTTCCATTTCTCCGGAGAAATGGAAGATAAAATCTCTGAATCTCTGGCTTGAATCTTTCAGCCCTGCAAGTCATCGTATGGGAATATCACTGCCGCATGCCTCTAGAATACCTAGTGGAAGTCGTGTGTGTGGCGCATCTCAACAAGGGGCTTATCAACTATAGAACGTTAATTCTTTGGTGTTTATTTTAAGTTTGAAAATTAAATGCTCGTTTGCCGTAGCCGTGTGTTTGCGTTTAAAGGCATGCCCCAGGATCACATTGGTGTGGCTCTTGCACAATGTATTGGTGCGAAATGGGCCGGCAGTAAAGAAAAAAGGAAAAGAATCCGTCGAAAACGCTTAGGTTAAGGGCTCACTCACCTTCCTAATCGGCTGTGCTAAGGGAATGAGAGACTAAGCGCGGAGAGGAGAGTATGAGGCGAGAGAGCTACAGATGAGAGAGCGCCAGACAACAGCCTGATAAGAGAAAAAATCTGCAGCTTCAGCAGCTTACTTTGCAAGGCCCAAGCGCTCTTGTCGGTTGGTTTCCGTGCACGGGAACATTTGTGATTGTCCTCTAGGGGTCTATACTACAGACCGAAGGAAGCGTTCACACGACCTCTGCCTGGGTTGTGCCTTAAAGCTTTTCCCGAGCCCTAGTACACAAAACCATTTTCTACTTTCAACTCTTTCTTTAAATCAATCGTTTCGGTGCGTAGGATGGAGCTTCAGTGAAGCAGCCGTTTTCCTATCTTGGAGTTGCGCTAAAAAGACAATGAAAGCCTTGTTGTTCCGCTCTACTCCATACTCTTCCTCTCCTCGAT